AAAAGAAAGCCTTTAATAATGGGTCCAGTATTACAGGGGTTCTGAAGCGTTCGTCGTCTCTCGTGGTGCGTACTGGATTGTAATAAGTATTGTAGCGGCATAACGTACGCTGCATTCGCACTAGGACCCAACCCATTCAACGTGGCAGTGGTGCGGCGCGTCAAATCTCTCGTCGTCTGCGTCTCTCAAGCCTACTAGCTCTCTGGTCTGGGTCCGTCTAGTCAACTAACTAGGAAATACTTTGATAGTGCAGCGATGTTGAAACTCGGAAGTAATGCTACATCTCCTGAGGTGTGTCTTCTTCAGAAGGCGTTGCAGAAAAATCAAGGGATGCGTTTTAGGATGCGTTCTGCACCAAGATGGCCCAAACATAGCTTAGTAATCGTCGATATAGGTTATCTTAAGGGAACAACTCGCCTTCCAAATGGCTAACCATAAGCCATCTCAGCGCTTGACTCAGATCGAATCCATGTGGAAACGTCTCGGAGATGGCTTAGTGGCTAGTGGCATGATTGCCGCGCGCGCGGTCCGGGGTTCTAATCTCGTATCAGCTCCCGTCCAGGGCCGCCAGGACTTTTACTGTATGGGGACGGTAAGTTGGTTCCAGATTTGTCTGGGAGGATAAGAACGTTGAATTGTGCATCAGCTGGACCCCGCAAGAACTATGTCGTCCACAGTAATTCCAATCGGCCACTACGATTCTGAATGGAAGCAGAATGCGTGCCGCATCCCAAAAAGGGATTTCTCGTCGGCGGGGATTTTATCCTGCATCCTTCATAATGCCTGTAACGGACGACAATGAATACAGTCTCTGTAGGAAATTGTACAGCGTTCGCGGGTTTCAGCTCGCAGCTGTGCAGCAGATGCAGAGGTATTTGAAGGTCCTGTGGTCAGCGGGAATGAGTTTTTTTGTTCTGTTGGTTTTTTCACTGATTTTCTGTCTTTTTCTACTTGAAAGCGAATAGTCGTATCAACTATTCAATTTGCAGATGTCATAAGCCGGAAATCACCACCCAACAATCCACCGATCCACGATTTATCTTTCTATGCTCGGAATGTGGCAGTAGAGGAGTGTCGTCTTCGGTAAGTTTTCAAAAAAGTTACCCACTGGTCCAATATGGGTCCGCAGTCCAGTACTTCAAGTGTGAGGACGAGTCAGTTCTTGTAACACCTCATTGAAGTGGGAGGGGATCAAGGAATAGCATCGGGATGGGTGAAATGGCGATGTTAGTACGACCCCCCCCCCATACATACACTCCGGATTTCCTCTTTAAAAGCGACTCGTCGAATTTCTCAAATTCCCTTGCTGGTACGACCCCCTTTCCAGACCTACGCATCGTCTTGCCAAATTCTTCCAACTTCCCGCAAATTTCCCAAGGAATTTTCTGCCCAAAAACTGGCGTCGAGTTGGCAGAGCTCCTCCTTCTCCAATCATTACGAGAAATAGCACTCATAATTCCTCGCGGCTGAGAAAAATTCCCTCGATGGACGCTCCTTCAAGGGTTATTTCCGTTGCTCCTCACCCTAGAATCGGGTGGACTTCCTTGTTCTACAGCACTAGATGCCGTCTGACGTTAACGAAAAACCCCGAAGAATTGGTGAGTAAACGGCATGTCGTGAGGAATAAGTCGTATTGAAAGAAGTCCATAGTCATTGAGCTATTACAAGTCAGGCACACCCTGCCATTGGGGAGATTTTTTGCACAATACGAATCCTCTCAAATTTTTCTACTCGAATCCTCTCGAATTTTTCTACTCTGATATTACGGTCCCCCTGCCCTTTCCCCAATCCTACCCACTATCCTCATCCATCCTTCCTGAATTTCTACTTTTTCAGAGTTGCAGAAAATCACAAAAAGTCAACCAGCCTCTCATCGTCCGTGAGGCGAGAACAAATCAGTTTACCAAATAAAATTTTTCCTCCCCAAATACGTCCCTCCCCCTCTTAGCGGTTAAATACGACCCCCCCCCCCCTATTCTGCGATTCCCAACAACGCTGGATGCCCCTGCTCCGTTTTGAGCCCAAAAGAGTGGCGCATGTGCAGCCAGCGAAACAGGAAAAAACCGAAAAAATGCTCAACGCTGGCCAGCACCTCCCCCTCCAGCGATCAAATTAAACCCCCTATCCCTTCGGGGATACACCCATGTACGACGTGCCCTGATCGCGAGACTTCATGCGACGTCGTGGCATGTCCTGAGACGTTACATTTACATTGACGTTTTGGGCTGCGAAACTATTCTGGACTCGTGCCGAGAACGAATCAAAGAAAAATTAGATTTGAAATTATATTTGTGAAGGTGTTCGTTCAGAAATCCCGATCGTCTAGTCCGAAGTTGTCTGTGAAAGCTGCCGAGGCAAGTGCTCAGAATCGTGGGCCTGGGGTGAGTTCCTTTCGGGTTTAAGAGCAGAGTTTCAGTTGAGAAGGTTGCGGTTGCATTGCTTATTCTTTCGGCCATTGTTGTTGAAAAATTATGTTTTTTTTCAGCTGGCCCCACGCTCAGGTTCAGATATCTCGGCGACGTTCGAGGCATATAGGAAGAAAAGTGAGGATTTACATGCCATTATAGTTGTTTACCTACTTACGGATCCCTAAGTCATGGATGAGCTTTTTGTTTTGCCGAGTAGCGTTACGAGTAATCATGGATTCTCTTCTGAGGTGGATCATAATCCGATTGATGATTAATGTCATACGGTATTTAATCTAGACATGCAGTTTTTCAACGGGCTTCTTGATGGTGTTCGATTTTGGAAGAAAGAA